TTTTTAAATATACACTTTGCAAATGGCTGTATTCTAAACGAAAGGAGCTCAGGTCAGCCGGTGAATGGGCTGTCGTTACCGGCGCAGCCGCCGGTATTGGCTTGGCCTTCTGCAAGGAACTCGCCAAGGAGGGACTTAAGATTCTCATGGTGGATGTGAATGGGCCGAAACTTAAGTCTGCCGCCAAAGAAGTGGCGGAGGCATTTGGTGTGGAAACACGAACCCTAGAACTGGATCTCTCCAACGTAGGAGATACAGTCTTGTTTGCCTTTATGCTGTTGCATAAATTTATCCTTTCATAAGGTACAATGTGCGTCAGTAGTCATAAATACGTAACAAAAATGCGTTCTCTGCTCGTGTCGTTAAAGGGAAGGCGTAGATGAATTTCCGATAGCGATATATTTGGTAAAAATCTACAGTTCTGAGATAGCTTTCAGTCCGCCAGTATTTAATGCAAATGTGCAATACCAAAGAGACAGCAATAATAATTTGAACAAATTGATAAAAACGCAAAATAATAACGACGTATTTGTGCTTGTTTATTAAACTTCTGTTTATATAGAGCTGTTCGTTGACTAGAACAATAACATGTTCGCTAGGGTTGCCTGGACTATGCACTTGATGAACACAAATCCAGCTTTTTGCGTTGAAAAGTCCTTCATGCCTAGTGCCGACTTATTTGAAGCATGTAACGTGGACATCGATTGGACTGGGTTCTGGACTGTTGGAAGGGAGAAAACTGCTTAAACGTCCATAGGTCGATCTATTGACAGCGAGCTAAAATGCAGTCTATAGACGTAGGTTAAGTCAAAAACGTACCTCGCTCGAGTGGTAAACACGTGCAGTATGCAACAAGACTCTAGTATTCATTCGACACCCGTGACCACTGTTGTGGCCGAAGGCATCCCTTACAATATTAATGGAGATCCTGCTCTTCGTGGTATTTTTTGTCGGAGGCGAGGGTGTCCAGACTACGAATTTTGTGGTCATTTATGTTAGAAGTCTAGCCTTACCTGATGCCAGCAACCTTGCAGGCTATCCTGAGACGTCACGCCTTCAGCCCACTGTGAACAATGATTCCTTTGTCAGCCGCGGACTGCCTCAAGGTCATATGTCTTCGCTGGTGGCTGTGCCCACGGGATGATCTGAAACGACTAGACAAGACATAGATGCATGCGAGAACACCCGCATGCCTAACTAGTCGCAGTTCCTCAAGGGCCACTTAGCTGCCTCACACAGTAGGTGACCTTCTTCCGACGCGCCCAATCATGCCACAAGCAAAGGCGTTTGACAATCACTATCAGACAGTGAGTTGCACATGGACTGCAGGGACACCGCTAGTCCGTCCCATTGCCGGGCTTCGCCCTGAGGCGGGGAAATTCAGTCCTCAACAACGCCAGCGGTAACTACCACCAAAGACAGCAACTCTGGGTTTTGTACACAATAGCAACTCCTTCGGGTGGATTATAGTTTTACGCCCTTTGAGTTTGTTCTTCCTAAGGGATTCAAAAGGTCGTAATTAAACGGTGACAAGGTCAAAGCCACCGTTACAACAATTTTACTAATCACGCGTACAATGACCTAGGGGATCGCTGGCGATAAATTGTGCTCTCGTAAACATTTTCTTAAATATGAACAATTGGGCCGATTTCAGACGTTTGAGCAAAAACGTGACCAAACCACAAAAATGGGAATTCACCTGCGTGCCGTTACCAGATTTCCATTGGCGCAAAATCCGCTTTTTCGTTTTCAGAGGAGGTTTACTTGCAACGGCATCAGCTGATACTTATCCTTTTTAGAGCATAAAATGCATAAAAAAGAAATTTGGATATTTAATAGTAGGCTGTGTAGGTGATTACCTGGACATCGCAAAAGCGTCCGATATCGAATATGCAGATTAAATTTTACTTCCAGCAAAACATATTTGAATTTATTTCTTATTTAGTACAAGGCCCTTTGCATTTCATGTTCACATAACAAATTGAGTAGGCGGACTTTGAGTTGTAAAGGAACAAAATGCAAGTGCACTTGTGCGTTATTTCGCAAGATAGACTACC